CTTTTTTTTTTTTTTGGTGAGGATCTGGAAATCCTGTTAATATTTAATTGGCTTTTAAATTATTTACACATCAAAGTGTTCATCCAATTGTTGTCTTTTAAAGAGCAAGTGCCAGTGGAACTCCTGGCCGACTTTCCAAGGTCTTGAGCGTGAGGCGTCATTAGGGAAGTGACCATGGACGGAAGTCAGGCCATCTCCTCTGGGAAACTGAAAGCCTTAGAAACTAGTTCATTGGATCACACACACGTCTTCCATCTGCTTCTGAGGTGTTAAGCATTTAAAGCTTATTCCCTTTTTTATTAAGAAGAATTATGATTCACTAATCGCAAATTCTCCTAGAAAAGGCCTTACCTTGAACTTCTTGTTATCCAGTCAGGAATCTTGTTTGATTAGTTCCATGCATTATGGCTCAGTGGGCCTTGAAAAAGGAAATAGGAAAGGTCATTTTGCCTGTTATACAAGATGAAATCAGGAGCTGGCCATTGTGTGGTTAATAGCAGCCTAGGTAATCCCCTTTGGCCACCAGGATATCTAGCTTGGCTATCTGCTCTGACTAGATGACTCCACAACTGAAATCATGTACATTCACTTTATGCCCTGGGAGCCAAAAGGCTGAGGCGAGGGTGGGGGCGTGGGGGTTTCCATCCATCAAGTTACAGACTTTTAAGGAGAGCTTGTTAAGTGAATTGTGATACTATCCTTGAAGGGTGTTACACCCCCCCAAAAGAAATAACCTATATTTCTGCTCCTTGCTTAAAGGTGTAAGTGCTCCTTCACTGATTCTTCACATGCATTTTCATCTCCTGTTTTAATCGCCCCCTGATTTTCTGGGAACCCCCCCCCCGTCCCTCTAAAGCCACCCCCAACCACTTCACAGCCCCAATGACGAGCTTTGTTAAAAAAAAATCTTTGTGCTGGGTTTCAAACTGTGTTGCACACAGCCTCGGCAGAAGTTAACAAACGAATAGAATGAGAAATGAGCTCTTGTAGCTAAATAAATCTGAGCTGCAGCATCACCAGGAAGGAACCAGACTGAGCTTTGTCCACAGTTCTTTACTACTAGCTCTGCTGAAATAAGATCTTTTCCTAAAATCTGATTAAGCCTGTTCATCTCTGAGAGCAAGCTATGGCATTTGAACCTTAATGCACACAATTTTGGACAATATCCACATATGGTATTTGAATTTGCCTCCATTCCATTTTTAGAAGGCAGTAGAACATAAATTAATATTTGAACTCTAGATGTATCTGGGGAAAAAATAATCTAGGCTTTTCAAAGAAATTGAAAAGTCCAACTATAGTTTGTTTTTAATTACTTTCAGCTGCAATCCCACATTATCCAGCTCAATCTCCTGGTACTGGAGAGTTAATGTTGGCTTTTAAGCCAAACAGATATTTCTATTTTCATACACCATTTTAATGAGAATTCAGAACAATGAACTTAGAAAGAAAACATCAAGATTTAATCACTACTCTCCTGGGACTTCTATTTACTCTTTTTCACTGGAGTTTATATAAAGATTCTTTTGGAGTCAACCAGCTACACCAACTTTCCATTGTGCAGGCGACTCTGACTCTTCAGGCTCCCAAAACAGTGGAGCAGCAAAGGTCAGGGTCTCTTGACTGCCTCACACTCACCTGTATGGCCTGACTGATCAATTACCTTATCTGTAAATTAAGTGGCACATGTGACATCAATACTTATGGAGGTGAAAACAGGCAAATAACTGCAGCTTCAAATGGTTTGTGTTCGTATAAGGTTTCAGTGACACAGGAGAGCATTTAGCTAAGGAACCCAGAAGTTTCTTAGCCTCTTTGTGGAAGATCTTCAGAGTCTTAATATATACAAATTCAAAATGCTGTTAAACCCACATTATTGAATTAGCTAAGATGAAGTGTATTTCATTTGCTCTGTGTGTGCACGCGTGTGCTCTGAATTCAATCCTGCCAAAATGGCAGCCGTAAGTAAGTGACGGCCTTTCCCTAAATTTGAGGCAGAAAAGTGGAGAAGTCTGCCCTTGCTGTCACCATAAAACGTTCAATTTTCTAGAGCAGTCCTAACGTTTATTACCATGTCAGTGAAGTTTTCAAAGTAGGGATGAAGCAGGTAAGAGCATACCTGCTTCTGTGTACAAGCAATATTTCTTTTTTTTTTTTTTAAAGTCCACTTAACAAATTATTAGTCCCCCTTCTACAAGACCAGAGGGAAATTCAAACTTAATTATCACTAGATATCCCTCACTCTACCCACCCCCTCCAGAATTGTGGAAGGCTTGGAGTCTTGTGAAATGCTGTGGATTTGGGGAGCACTCACTGCTCATTGATGTAATCTGGCACTGCTACACTCCCATCACCATGGTCCCCTTAGGACAGAAATGGGTCATGCTCACCCACGACCCCTTAGGACAGAAATTGTTCTGTGCCTCATGTAGAATGTGACTTTCATCAGAGCTGGGAGTCCTGTTTCCAGATACTGATGAGGTGCAAGACATGGGTCCCCTTTGTTGGTGGACCTCCACAGAGGTCACTTCCTCCACACTGAAGGTAACCCCACTGTGCTGGCTCCACTTATACAGTCCTGCCCCTCCCAGCCCTTCTGGACTCTTTATAGAGTCTCTTCCATGACCTGTGGCCTAGGATGTTAATATCCCCTGGGCCAATGGACAAAACACAGTCAGGCCTCCTTAGGGAACAAAATTGGGAGATAAAATCCAAGTCACTAAGTATATCATCTTGGACTATTTATCTTGCCATGGGAAGTTATAAATTAGTAGTAGCCAGTGTCACAACAGGAAAGCAGTAAAGCTTATTTATCTGATAGAGTGGCCACCCTCTATAGGTGGCTATTTATGAACTAAAATTAAAATTTCCATTTTTCAGCCAGCTTGCCATACTTGAGCACCCAATTAGCACATGGCAAGCAGCTGCCATATATGGACAGAGCAGATAATGAACGTCTCCATCCCTTTGAAGCTCTGTTAGACAGCTCTGATGTAAAATGCAATGCATGTTTTTCCCAGTAGCAGTTGAGGGTAGACCCACTACTCTCCTAGCTGATGTTCTCATTCAGCTTGGCCTATTCATTTATTTAGCAACATGTGAAAACTTAATTTTTTCAAGTGGTGGTAAAATACACATACCACGAAACTTACCATTGTAAACAAGTTGAAACATACAGTTCAGTGACATTCAGTCCCTTCACATTGTTGTGTAACCACAATCCATCTCTAGAGCTCTGTTTATCTTCCAAAATTGAACTTATACCCATTAACCAACTCCTGATTCCCTCCTCATCCCACACCCCCACCCCTGGCAACCACCAGGATTACTGTGAATTGAATTGTTTCTGTCTTTTGGCTGTTCTCAATATTACTGTTATATCCATCATTTTATATGACTATAACAGTCCCCATTTTCAGTTCCCTCAGTATATACCCAGAAGTCGAATACTACATCATGTGGTAATTACATGTTTAATTTGGGGGAGAATTGCCGTAGCCTTTCACGGTGGCTGCACCATTTTATGTTCCCACCACCAGTGCCCAAGGGCTCTCATCTACCCACATCCTCTTGAGGCTTACACGGATTTTGACAGCCACAGACAAATCGCTTCCCTCCTGTTTCTTTGTTTTAATTATATGATGCTGAGGGACCTAAGCAGCTCTTCTAGGAACTGTGTAGAGTGGGCCTTCATTATTTAATAAGTAGAAAGAAACAAGTGGGGAGCCCGTGGGCAATGGTGAGCAGACCATCATGGTCATTCTTGAGAGAGCAGTCCCTGTGGTTGATGTGGTACAAAGTGGTGGACATTTGCGCGTGGATTTTTCCTTTGCCTGTGGCCCAACGTGTCCCTGAGGCACTCAATCACCTGATGTAAGACTCCCCGTTTCTTTCAATGAGGCTTGGGGGTTATCTCATGGAGAGGAGTCTTGGATCTTATGTAAACACAAAGTATAACTTCTGTGATGGCTCCATTTCCCCTGGGGGAGGCGCAGTGAGGGGAGGAGAGGTCATGAAAGGCTGGATTGGTGCTGTGCACTGGGCGGTGTGCATCTGGCACCTAGGGCCACCTGGCAAAGGCAGGACTGCCCAGGGAAACTGAGCCTAAGAGCAAACAGAGATGAAAGGAAACTGCTGGAACAACACCCATGTTCAGCACTGACAAGTCAGCAGAGCCAGACTTCCTCAGTTCAGTGAGTGAGTTTGTTTTCGCAGTCAGATAGCAGACAGGACACAAATATGGGATGGCTGTGCTTGCCTGCAGCTGGCTCTCCATCCAGGCACATTCTGGTCGAGGCCTACTTTAATACTCATTTCTTTTTTTGTTTTGTTTTCTTGCCCCATGAAGATATTCCTTTATTTTATCTCACTCATCCCTAAATAGCATTCTCTGACTGGAGAAATGGAAACAAGGGAACAATTGTTTGGGAATTGGGAATCGGAGGCATGTGCCTGCAGGGTCTGGCTTTGGGCGTGCAAGAAAGAGATCCTCACAAGCAAGCTGTAGGTCCGCTAATGAGTTGCAGGACCCACTGTAGATAGCTGTGGTGAGCTCCATACCCAGCCACAAACCCAAGGACTGTTGAGGATAAGAATTTATTTCTTTCTCATCTAAGAAAGGGGGTGACAAAGAGAGGAGGATTCCCCGCTTTAAGAAGTAGTCAGCAGCTCCACCGTGCCCAGGAAAGCCCCCTGGTTTCCCATGAGCTGATGTCTGAGCCCAGGAGCCTTGTGAGTGGGAGGGGATGTTGGCGCTCCATGGCTTCTGGGCCTGACTTTTGCCCTCAGACTTTGTTGGTTGGATCTCTTTTATATCAAAGTGGGTAAAACAGGGCAGCGTTGCCTGCAGAGGGTCACCGACAAGCCCCACAGGGCAGTCCCATTGGCCAGGCCCACACGATCGTTGTGTCGGTGTGACTGTGGTGTCTCGTGCAGTAAACGTGGTCATGGCTCTTTGGGGTGCATACAAAACCATTTTTTCTTCGGCTTGTCCTCTCCAGGGATTTGAAATTGGATGGAGGGAGACAATCAACAGGGGCCGTGAGCTTGAAAGAGATCATTGGCCTTGAAGGTGTGGAGCTGGGTGCTGACGGGAAGGTAAGGCCACCCGCTTCCAGTCAGTGGGTCTGTGCTGATACCACAAGGGCTGGGAAGCAGAGGCAGCCTGGCGGATCACAAACCTCACTTGTGGCTGAGGAAGAAAGTTCGGGGGCACTTTCCTGGGTGTACGACATCAGCCTGTGCACAATCCCCCGATGTCAGAAGGGACTCCACCAAGCCAGTGAGCCAATGATGAGATCTCGCACACCTTTCTCCATCAACACTGTTCGCGACGAGTGTGCCTTCCAGACCAATGTCTTGTGCTGGCCCACACATGTGCATGTTTTGGGATGGAGTAACAAGTTCACAGGCAAACAACATTCCCACTATGAGTAGGTTATTTTGGGTTTTCATAAGCATCCCCCAGCCCCAGACACACCAGCCATCAGGTTGTCCTGTTCCTCTTTCAGCCACAATTCACTGCTGGGTTGAAGTCTGAACCTGGGATCAAGGTTGAAAGATGAACCTGACCTTTTGTGCTGCCTCTGGATGGTCTTCATAAACCCTCCCAAAGCCAGTTTATGGAAATGATGCCAGTTTTTCTTTGGGGAAACCGCCCCAGCCTGCTTTGCTTGCTGCTGAACTGGTGGGGTGGCAAATGCCTTACCTCCACACCTCCCCCTGAACAGCTGATCACCCTTGTGCCTGAATGACATCAGCCCTGAGCTCTCAGTGTTGGGGTACATGTGTCAAGTTTCCCTGAGCAGGTGAAATGAAAGGCATTAGTTCCAGCAAGGTCCACCGGAGGTCACAGTCCCTTAGTCAGAAACTTGTAAGATGCGATGTGTTGTGGAATTTTGTACTGGGTGGATTAAAAAAATGGAATTTGGTCTATGCTTCATGTATTGTGCAATATCCCAACAGTTTCTGAGACAGTACTTGTCAAACATAACACGAATATTTATGCCAAGTGGCATAAATTAAAACTGAACAAAGCCTCAAGTCAGTTGGGTTAAGGTTGTGGCACAATTTGGCACAAATGAGCACCAGAACAAACTTCATTTTTCAGATCTCATTGGATTTTAAAATTACAGATCTGAGACTACGAGCCTGAATGTAGCTGGGTCAGAATGTGAGCCCCACATTGCCTGGAAGTAACCATTTGCCTGTTTTGGCTTTATTTTTCTAGACTGTTTCGTATACCCAGTTTCTGTTACCCACAAATGCCTTTGGAGCCCGGAGAAACACTATAGACTCCACCTCCTCCTTTTCCCAGTTCCGGAACCTGAGCCACCGCAGCCTCTCCATAGGCAGGGCCAGCAGCACCCAGGGGAGCCTCGACACAGGTAACCTCAGGCCTGGCTGGATTTGGGTAGGTGGTGCCTCTGTGAAATGAGTCTCTGTGTGTGCAGACCCAGAGACAGGGGCCATTGGAGCTCATTGATGGACTTTTTGGGCAAGCCCCTGATTTCAAGCTGTGCAGACTCATGAGCAAACCACAGGGTGATCTCTTCAATGAAAGGCCTCAGTCACCAGCCCCCAGGCTCCCACAAGGAGAAATGCCAAGATCACCTGACCCACATAGCATGGCCAGCTTCCCCGATTTCTCACCACCACACAGCTCCTCATCCCAGCAGTTACCCGGCTTGTACCTAAATTTTTATAGTGCACATGTTGGGAGTTTCTTCAGCAATTGTGTTAGCATAGCAGGCAGGTGTGTGGACTCAGCCACTGAGGGGAGACTCGCATGCTCCCAGCTTTGCCTATAAACCTCTCTAAGAACTGACACAAGGGAGAAGATATTTCATGAAGTATTATTTCTACCCGCAGAGACACTGTGGTGAACATGAATGTCCTAGGCCTGCTTATGAGCTGAGTTTGGAATCCCTGTCCTGTTTCAGCCACCTGGTTCTTTATAGCGATTTGCCTGGACGCTTGCTCTGAGTTGTGTTCACACAGACACAACAGCTTGCCCAAAAGTATTTGCCCCAAAAACATGCTTCTCACAGGACACAGCTTGAGTCTATTCATTGGATCTGCAGGTTTAGAAAATGAGACTTTTCAGGGCCATGTTTTGTAGTCTGAGTGTTCTCTTGCATGCGCTCTGAAGTGTGCTCTCCCGGGTCAGGGAGATGAATACGTCATTTTCTAAAATGGAAAAAATGTCACAATCTTAAATATTTGGTGATTGCAGGGCCCTGCACTTCTGCACTTCTGCAGGGCCCTGCACTGCACTGGCATACAGAGCGCAGAGCTGTCTCCTGAAAGCTCAAGCGAGTGATGTGGCTCTGAGCTGACTGACCTGAAGCCAGTCGTCCTTCAGTCTAACTTTGCACTTGGCTGTCTCCCTGCTGCTTTAGCTTCAGAGGGTCTGGGGGTCCCTACTTATTACTTTGCACTTGCTCCTTAGGTAGTGACCTGGGAGACTTTATGGATTATGACCCAAATCTCCTGGATGATCCCCAGTGGCCTTGTGGCAAGCACAAACGAGTTCTGATCTTTCCTTCGTACATGGTGAGTAGCCCGTTGATCTGATCAGTGAGCTCACCCCTCAGTCTCTGGTGGCTTGGAGGTGCTTGCCTTAATAGAGGGGCTGCTCTGCCTTGAGGGGTGGGGGCAAGGGCTTGTTCAAGCACTGCTGAGCCTGGGGACCTGCTTGAGGACTCCCGAGTGTGTGTTGCTATGGAAGGTCCAGCACGTGCTTCCATCCAGAGCTCTACCGGTCACCTGGCCTGCATCTGCCACTTCAGCTTCCAGCTCAGGGCGGGAGACCCTCCCTTACGAGAGGTGTGCCCTACCTTATGCGCCATGGACCTCTCCAGGGGACGACCAGACCCATCACTGGCAGTGCTTAGTTCAAATTCAGCTCTGTTTGGCGTTCTTGGTGACGGTGGCCATAGCACGCCCTCTGAGCAAACATTTGGCACCAGGCTCTGGATGACAGAATTATCTTCTGGGAAAGTGAAAGTAGGACAATGTGGGTGTTAAATGCAAAACCTTCCCTTGCTGTTTTTTATTTCATGGACTTTTCCTGTTTTTCTCTTTGTGTAATTTTGGTTTCTGCTTTTGGCCAACCCATCGTTTCCCACCATTCCTGATGGCTGTTTGTCCAGCAGGGTCCCCAGCGGGGTCGGGTGTACTTTCCTCAAGTAGATGTAGCCTGCCTCAGAGGCAGGTTGAGCCTGGGCTGCTAAGGGTGGCTGGGTGTGACGCTGGCTTCTCGGGGAAATCTGTGTGCCAGGTACACCACGCACAGTACCCAGCAGGAGAGCCCTGACCCAGGATGCCCTCGCTGTCTCCCTGCCAGGCCAGACTGGGGCAAGCACACCCAGAACATCCTGCCTCTAATCCCCTTGCTCCTTCCCAGCCTGTGCTGTTCTCAGAAACACAAATCTCAGGAGTCAATTGGGGGTTCTTTTTCTGTTTTAAGCTTTTGTGTCTACAGAAGCCAGACTGAGACCCAGCCCCAGGCACCTGAATACTCACTAGGAGCTTAGAGTCCTCAGCAACAGGCTGCTCCCCACAGAATCCCTCCTCACTGAACATTTGGCAAGTAGCTGACATTAGGCAAACACTAGGCAGAATTCAGGCCCTTGACAATTACTTTCAGCATCTATCTCCTTGTAGTTTGGCAAGTAGCCTAGGGATCTTTCTGATATGTCACTTTGGATCAGAATGAGTTACCAGAGGTCTTTAGTTGAACACTGCCCCTACTCCTCACTCTTCTACCCTTATCACCCAACTCCTAACACAGAAAGAAAATCCAGAACCATCTATATCTATTTTTTTTACTCTATTCTGTTAGATTATTTGCTTCCTTTTAAAAGGGTCTTATTTTTAAAAAATTCTCAAAGGGTTTCTTCGTATTAGTAGCTCCTAGTAAGTGTTAAATGACCAGAACCATTGCCCTGATGTTAGGAGAGATCAGCTAAAATGTAGAGACTTAGGTAAGGATTCTTCATGGCTTTATTTATTAAAGCTCACTTTATTTATTACGTAGCGTGGGCAGGAAACTCTGGTTTCCTGGGAGTCTGGGAGTCCGAGTGAGGCTATCACAGTTGACAGACAGGAAGTAGAAGGTGGGGCGGGGGGTGCAAAGCCAGTAATGCTGGCTCAGTGTTCTTGCCACTTGGCCTCTGAATTTCACATCCCTAAGCACTCAGTGGCAGAAATACCAACCTCAGGTAGGACCTCAAAATGATTCTTTGAGTCATCAGTTCAACAAATTTCTGTGTAACTAAGAGAATAAGAAGGTGAAGTATTTTTGATAGAATTGTGGTTTGGTGGAGAGTTCTTCTACACACATGCATGTCTGGTGACAACCTGTCCATTCATGGGCCTGTTGGACTGGTGCCAGGTCTGATTTTTTTTTTCTTCAAATGATTCTATTGTGAGTAGCAAGGCTTTTAATTTTTGCAGTCTTCATGAGCAAACCTGCACACTTGGATAATTTTTCCTTCTTGGACAGTGTGCTGTGCCAAGTCAGCACATATGTCCTAACCTCCTTGTTTTATGTTCCTAAGTGGGTCATTTTTCATTTCGCCACATTGAATCTGCAGCCTGTGCTTCCTATAATAGCCCATTTTTTTTAGAGAGTGAAATTGCTCATGGAATGCATTTGCCTGTGCACCTCCGTAAGACCTACATCTCATGTTCTGGCTACAGATGTTGGTACTTTGATAAAATGTGGGCCATTCACTTTTCAGCATTCTCATCCAAGTCACTGATGTGCCTGTCATGTGCTGCAGAGAGCCTCAGGCGGCCTCCTCCCCACAAGCAGGTGTGGATTATAGGGCTGTTTCACATGTATTTTGCATTGCACTTGCAGAATCAAGAATATGAAGGGGTTTTGTATCTGAGGGTGATCCTGCTCTGATACCTGTCATTCCACTGTTTACCAGGGTTAATTCAGCCGATCTGGCTGGGTTAGTTTTGCCTGTCCTGGAAGTTCATATAAATGGAATCACATACTGTGTGTTCTTCCTCCTGCCTTTTTTTCTTCTTCATTTGTCCTCTAACCCACAACTTAATAGCTCGTATTTCAGGTGTTAGTGTTTGGTTTTTTAATTGCTGAGTAGGGATCCATCATATTGTTGTGTCATCGTCTGTATAGGGACATTTGGGTTTTTCCAGTCTAGGGATATTATTGTAAATAATATTGCTATGGACATTCTTGTACAAGTCTCTGTGGACCTATATTTTCACTTCACTTGGGTAGATACCTTGGAAGCGGCTTTCTGAGTCATAATGTAGGTGATGTTAACCAGCCAGCATCTACTTGGGTGCATGTTCTTGTTCATGGTTGTGCTGCTACTTTTGCCACAGTTAGGACATGCCTTAAAGAGGGAGTATTCCAGAGGTAAGTGTTTCCCCAAGGCCCCCAAAGAAGCCTGTTATGGACAAAGTTTAAGTGACCCCCCCCTGTAAAAATTTACCATGTAATTGCAGTTCTATATCTATTTTTAACTTTGATCCATGCAAGTCACTCGTGCTGTTTGCCAGTGTGTGAAAGGGCAAAGGTGAAAGTTTGAACTAAAGGAAAAATTCCTGGGGCAGGTGTGGAAACCAAATCACAGCTGCCCCTGTGATTTGGCCTTAAAGTTTCTAGACGGTAACCACAGAACGTGAAAGTATGTTGAGCCCCCGGGCACAGGCAGGTTCTTGTAGGGCCTCAGTAATGACCGTGCTGCTCAGCATAGAGAGGGAAGGGCAGCGGCCTGTGTCAGAACCAGACGCTGCTGCTCTGTGCACCGCCTGGCTTGTAATTAAAGTTTCACTAGAGAGCAGTTATTTATCATTAGAACCTGGCAGCTAAAGTTGGTAATGGTTTTACTTTTTTTCTCTCCCTCTTTTTGGGTGTGGAGAGCAATTAAGAGGAGAAAGTGAGAGAGCTGACTGAGATAATGCCAACAAACTTAACGTTACCTGAACGGATTTCTGGATCCTTTTCAGGAAGGAATCTCTTGCTGTTTTGACAGCAGAAATAAAACTGAGTAACCATTTTTATGATAGTAAAGGTATATAAATCTCAAGGGAGCATCTCTTGGATTGAGCTCCATGGTAAAGTGCCTGTACTTTTGTTTACTTTCTATTGCAATCCTTGTACTGATGGAGAAACTCCTTCCATCCCTCAACTTCCCCATTGTAGGACAGCACAGAGCAGGATCTCTATTATCCTATGCAGATGGATAAAGGAGAGTCTTGGAGCCCTCGGTGGCTTTTCAAGCTTTTATTAGGATTTTACCAGGTACACGGCAGGCAGGGAGGCACGGGAGCCAGGAGGCTGGCAGGCCACCCAACCCCCAGCAAGTCTTCACTCTTTCTGGGCTCTCTGTCACTCTCTCATGGTTTCATTCTCTCTTTTCTGCTAGTCTTTCTGTCTTCTGGTTCTCTTTCTGCTCTCTCACTTGTTTCTCTCGGTGGTTCTGTTCTGTGACGCTGCCCTTGTAAGCCCATCTCTGCCCAGGTGTGCCCACCTATGCATGCCCACACCCTAATCCAGGTGCCCGCCATCTGGAATGCATTCAAGGACTGCAGGGATCTTCCATCATCAATCCTAATGGCGGGAGGGCAGAAAAGCCTAACAATCATTTACCCTACACCCATTGACAGGAATATATCTTAGAACCTAATTGTTCAATTCATTATGAGATACTGAGCATGGGAAATAAAAGTCTCAATAAAAGGAAGACTAATTCAGTCTTCCATGTGGTAGATGACTGGACTCTGCTATCCCCCTCCACCCCTTCCGTATTTTTTCATTGAAGCCTGTCCCCATCAGAAGGCAGTTATTTACCTGTCAGCAGGGTGGGCTTGTTGAGCGCTGGGACACCTCCCTTGCTAGGCTTCTTCTGGGCTCCTCAGATTTCAAAATGCCTGAAGCATATTCTAGTCAGGAGATTCTCTCTAGGGAAAGTGACCCAACATTACAACAGCACCATTGCTAACCCTCATTCCAAGACCTGAAAGGCACCCACAGATTCAGAGTGTCCCCGCTTCAGGAAAAATCTGTCATTGCCTGTTTAGGAGATGAGCTGCGGGATCTTTGAGACCGCCAACTTTTGTTGAAAGCGTTATACTAACATGCTGTGTTGCGTCATGGTGGGTATTGTTTTTTGGGTTTTTTTTTTTTCCCAGTAACAACTTTATTAGATGTAAATGACCTCGTACAATTCACCTCTTTTAAGTGTACAATTATGTGGTTTTTACTCCACAGTATGGTCCCTCTATCACCATAATAAACTTCAGGACATTTTTATCCTCCCAAAAGAAACTCCCAAGCCTCTTTACCCCCAAACCCTTAAGCCCCAGGCAACCACTAACCTGCTTTCTGCCTCTGTAGACTTGCCTCTTCTAGGCTTTTCACAGACATGGAGTCACACACCATGTGGTTGTTTGTGTCTGGCTTCTTTTACATAGCATAATGTTTTCAAGGTTCCTCTATATTGCAGCATGTATCAGAATGTAGTGGGATTCTTTTCTTGTAAAAATAATACAAAATGGCTTATGAGCTT